TCAGTCAGCGGCAGGGAGCTGACTACTTTCAGACCTTCTCTCCCACCCCGAAGATGACCACTCTTTGGGTGCTGCTGCACATAGCCGCTCAGCGCGACTACGAGCTTCACTCTCTTGACTTCAGCACAGCTTTCCTGCAGGGCAGCCTCCACGAGGAGATCTGGCTGCGCCGCCCACCTGGCTTCACTGGGTCGTTTCCTCCTAGTACCCAGTGGAGCCTCGGGCGGCCAGTCTACAGTCTCCGCCAGGCGCCCCGTGAGTGGCACGACACACTGAGGACTACACTTGCGGCTCTTGGGTTTGCTCCTTCTACTGCCGACACGTCGCTGCTTTTGCGCACAGACACCTCTTTGCCGCCGTTCTACATCCTCGTGTACGTCGACGACTTGGTCTTTGCCAGTGCTGACACTGCTGGACTAGCCCACGTGAAGTCCGAGCTGCAGAAGAGACACACGTGCACAGACCTGGGTGAACTTCGCAGCTACCTTGGCTTGCAGATCACCCGGGACAGAGCACATCGCACCATTACCCTGACTCAGTCACACATGGTGCAGCAGGTCCTTCAGCGCTTCGACTTCACGTACTCCTCGCCTCAGGCCACTCATCTGTCTTCTCGCCACTCGCTCTCAGCTCTGCCTTCGGATGAGTCCGTAGAGCCGAGTGGCCCGTACCCAAAGCTTGTTGGCTGCCTCATGTACCTGATGACCTGCACACGACCTGACCTTGCATACCCTCTTATCATCTTGGCACGCTATGTTGCTCCTGTGAGACACCGACCAGAGCACATGGCTGCAGCGAAGAGGGTGTTGCGCTACTTGTGCAGTACGTCGGGCATGGGGCTAGTGCTTGGAGGGCGACGTCCAGTGGTCCTCACAGGTCACGCAGACGCTTCTTGGGCTGACGACCAGGCTACGCAGCGGTCGTCACAGGTTTACACCTTCAGCCTTGGCTCCGGCTCTGTTTCGTGGCGGTCTACCCGCTTGTCTTCTGTTCTCGGCTCCAGCTGAGAGGCTGAGATCTACGCTGGAGCCATGGCTGCACAGGAGCTAAGCTGGCTCACCTACCTGCTGACTAACCTAGGAGCGCCGCCTCGTTCTCCTCCAGTTCTGTACGTAGACAACAAGGCCATGCTGGCCTTGTGACGGGAGCACAGAACGAAGCACATTGCTCCGCTACTTCCTTGCTCGTGAGCTGCAGCAGCGTGGTCAGCTGCGCCTAGCTTACGTGGCCTCTGAGGCCAACACTGCTGATATCTTTACCAATGCACTTCAGCCTTGTGATCATCAGCACTTCTATACGATGCTAGGTCTTGTGCCTACTTGGCCTCACTTGCTCACTTCTTGACTTTGTTTGTACTGTGATCTTTCTATACCTGCACTTGCTTGTTTACCTTTATATATGATCTTGCATGTGAACTGGCCTTGTGGCCTTACTCTTGTGCTCGGACTGTGTGGTGACGTTGTGATCCACCCTGAGCTTGCTTTGCTTTGCTTGACTGGTCTTGTGACCTCTTGTTCTCCCCCACTTTGCCTATGGGGGTGTGTCAAACTCATATGCTATAGTCTGTGTAGGCTGTAGTGGGGTAGACAATATGGGGTACAACATTTCTAGGTTTTCCTACTTGTACCCACCTCTTTCCTAGTTCATTCATTCCTCATTCTTCACATCGACGGCTTTTCAATCGCCCTAACTCGGTGCCGCTTGAGAGTGTTTCGAACGGTGGCGCCAGTGACATTGATGTCGTGTGTAGAAGCTATCATTCCCGCTGCGGCCTCGGCGGATTTCGATTCACCAGAAACTATCGACCTTACGACTATCCTCGCGATTTGCTCTGGTAGCTTGCGCGGTTGACCATGTTTCACCGAGGACGGCATTAGCTCCTCGTATGTTTTTGGACCGAGGTGGCGGAGGAGCTCGTCATGGACGAAGGACTTCGAAACTCCCAACTCCTTAGCGATTTGGCGGTAACTACGCCCCTCCGCAATTAGCTGTATGATGCGCTTCTGTTTCTCCACACTAAGGCACTTCATTCTGCGTAGAAACCGCCCGTAATCTCCTCTGTACCTAGCTAGTCTAGATCTAACTGCGCACGAAATAAAGTGCAGGACATTTCGGAAGAATTTGTCCGTGTGGGGTGTCGAGAGGGAAGAGGTGACTCTTTAGAGCGAGAGGTTTTTTTTGGGGTTATAGGTAACCTACACAAACTGGTAACACACAGTCGTGATCGCCAAACGCAATTTGTTTATTACAATACTTGCTTATTTTGTTAAAGACTAAGGACAGAGTCTATGACGATCAGGTGCCTAAATTTCTCAAAATCGTTGGCTTAGAATTCTGGACAGAAAAGTCGCGCTCACAAGAAATGCCGTCGACAAAAAACACATTGTCAAAACTTCACCAATTTTATTAATGTTGTAGCTCTATAGTGTAGCTACCATTACCAAGTTGAAACGTATCAAAAGGTGAAGTATTTCTTGACTTATCAATCTCGGCGCACAGGGGGGTGTGCTGCCATAGAATCTTAACTCTATCACAAAGTTCTCTCAATTACACAATAGAAAGTTGAAGTAGCAATTAACCAGGTGGGAGGGAAGAGGAGGACGAGAGAGAAGGTCCCCAAGGAGTCCCCAACCAAGGAAACCCCATAAGCACACCAAATCCCTTCCCTATAGGAACCCCACCTTTACTTTTGTCACTTTCCAACCCATGCCATCCACCTCGCCCAACTTGGCCACACTTGCCAACTGGTTTGGCTCCTCCCAACCACTTGGCAGCATCTACAGTGATGTTGACGAATTTCCCAACCCCCAAAAGTCTATACCCCTTATAGAGTCAACCCCACAACTTCCCATAGTCACCACAACTAAATATCAAAAGCATACGAACTTCCAACGTTCGTAACTTTCTTGTTCGTGCTCCGATTGAAGCGATACTTGGTTCGTCGGAAAGCTCTTGAGCAGAGGAGTCACTTCAGATATCTGCTCAAGCCAAATAACATTCACACACACTCAGAAAAACCAAACCACATCAAACACAAATTCTTGCACACACTCACACTACGCATGCAACGCACGAACATGTGATGGGAGGCAGACAGATGTGAATGCAAGTGATAGCATCACATAACATATTTTACGATTGGGCCTGTACAGATCAATAATTTCGTTCAGTGTAAGGTCCCGCTTTCTCCCCTTGCTGCATTTTGACCAATGTAAGCTGGCTGAGCAGGCGACTCATTGTAACGGGATCTGTTGCCATGTATGAGTTGCGCAGGTGCTCCCAGGAAGCGTACGCGGGCGCCGACTCTGACTTGTAGGAGCGAATGCCGAGCTGCTCGAAAGGGGAGAGATTTCGGCGCAGAGTGGTGTAGGCGAGAAGAGATTCGTGGTAATATTGGTTCTTCTCTTGGACGGTTCTGTTGGAAACGGTAGGCTTCCGTCATAGTACATCCAGATTTGCGCAGTTGTTGCAAGGAGCTCAAACTCGAAGCTCCAAGTGTAGAAGTCCTTTCCGTCGAAGGGAACCGATGTTTTCAGCTTCGAGGTCAGAACGAACTTCGTCTGCATTGTTGCGATCGTGTCTGAATGTGCGTGTTGTTGACTGTCTTGCGCAGGAGCCGAAGTTTGACGGTTGTCAAATGTGAAGGACCTCTCGGAGTTGACGCGGCGGTCTTCTCGTGGGAGAGGGAGTCCTGCAACTCCACGCGCAAAGCTTGAGCCATTGATGCTCTTTGCTTGATGGCTCTCAAGAGCATTGATGCGGGTGACCAATTGCTCAATGAGAGCGGCGCTAACGGAGGTCACCGCTGATGGTGTAGTGGGTGTTGCTGGTGGTGGGCCCGGAGAATCTGCAGTGGCTTTTCCTTCTGGAGCCATAGTAGCGCAGAATTTGTAACGATGTAACGAGTAATTTATAAAGAGGTTGTTCTAGCAAGAACAAGAACTTAGCAGGCCTTATTATCCACTCCAGCTCTCATACCATGATGTTATAACTGGAGGATCGCGGTGGATATGATAAAGTTGCTGAGTATATGAGAGAGTTGTAAAGTCTCTGTAATGACCTTGTTGATAAAGTTTGAGAGAACAAGATGATTATAAGATACGAGTACAAGAATATAATGTCAAAGAGTCCTAGCTAGACTAGGAGCCATGGCTAGTGAGTGTCGAGGAAGTTGAAAAGGAGAATGAATGACTTCACTTTAGGTTTGCAAGAACATATAGCAAATGAACAAAGAAGGTGCACCACTTCACAAAGTTTATAATAACTACACTAACTACAGCTACAGGCAGTTACAGATATATTCTAACACTCCCCCATAACTGCCAGAAGCAGGAGTCTGTGCAGTGACACAACCTAGACGGGTACACCACGAACTGAGAAAACAGCAACAGCAGGCAACAGGCAAGGTTACAAAGCAGGTACAGCAGCAAAGGGGGGGGGCAGGCACTCCTGCCACCCCTTTACTCTCCTCCCCCCCCGACCACAGGAGGGGCGGCAGGGAGAGAGAGGAGGCGGGCTGGCGCTGGCTGGTCACCCACTCCATCCCCTCACCCTCCCCCTCCCCCTCCCCCCCACACTGCTGCAGGAGCAGCAGAGGGGGGCGAAAGGAGGAGGATGGGAAGGGGAGACCACACACCCGCCACCCCAATGCCACTCCCCTGGCTCCCCCACACCCTCACACCCTCCCCCCCTGCGGCAGCTGCAGCAGTGGGAACGAAAGGAGGAGGAGGGGAAGGGGAGACCACACACCCGCCACCCCCACACCCGCCACCCCCTACTCGCCACCCCCAAACCCTAACACAGGGCAGGGCGGGATGGCGGGTAGGGAGGTTACAGGGGGGGGGAGGGGGGGGGGGGGGGGGCGACGCGCGGCCTCCCAGGGCGCCAAAGCAGGCGGCAGAAGGGGCGACGCTCGCCCCCCAGGGAGCCGCAACGGGCGACGGGAAAAAGAGGGGGGGGCGGTGCACGTGCCCCCGGTGCGCCGCGACAGGCGACGGAGCATGGCCGGGGCGGGGCCGGGGCAGGGTCAAGGCAGGGTCGGGGCATAGCAAGGGGAGGGCCGCGATAGGGCCGCGACAGGGTCAGGGCAGGGCCGGGGTCGGGGCAGGTCCGAGACGGGGCCGCGACAGGGTCGGGGCAGGGCCGGGGTCGGGGCAGGTCCGGGACGGGGCCGCGACAGGGTCGGGGCAGGGCCGGGGTCGGGGTCGAGGCAGGGCCGAAAGGGGCAGCGACGGGGCCGCAAGGGGCGGCGACGGGGCCGCTGGAGGCGGCGACGGGGCCGATAGGGGCGGCGACGGGGCCGCTGGAGGCGGCGACGGGGCCGCTTGAGGCGGCGACGGGGCCGATAGGGGCGGCGACGGGGCCGCGAAGGGGCCGCGAGGGGCGTGAAAGGTCGGCGACGGGGCCGGTAGGGGCACGACGGGGCCGCTGGAGGCGGCGACGGGGCCGCAAAAGGCGGCGACGGGGCCGCTGAAGGCGACGACGGGGCCGATAAGGGCGGCGACGGGGCCGCGAAGGGGCCGCGAGGGGCCTGGAAGGGCGGCGACGGGCCGGTAAAGGCGGCGACGGGGCCGCGAAGGGGGCCGCGAGGAGCCTGAAAGGTCGGCGACGGGGCCGATAGGGGCGGCGACGGGGCCGCGAAGGGGCCGCAAGGGGCCTGAAAGGTCGGCGACGGGGCCAATAGGGGCGGCGACGGGGCCGCGAAGGGGCCGCGAAGGGCCTGGAAGGGCGGCGACGGGGCCGCGAAGGGGGCCGCGAGGGTCCACTAAGGGTCTCACGAGGGGCACGCCACGGGGCGTGCAGTACACAGAGTAGCAGCGGAAGCAACTGGCCAGGAACGTAGTTTGCTCTGATAGCATGTCAAAGAGTCCTAGCTAGACTAGGAGCCATGGCTAGTGAGTGTCGAGGAAGTTGAAAAGGAGAATGAATGACTTCACTTTAGGTTTGCAAGAACATATAGCAAATGAACAAAAAAGGTGCACCACCTAACAAAGTTTATAATAACTACACTAACTACAGCTACAGGCAGTTACAGATATATTCTAACACATAAATAGTAATCCTAGCTAGCCATGTACTCTGAGGGGTATATTCCCTTAGGGCGTGGCACCATTTTGCTCCCGATGGTTCGAACCGTGGACGGTCCGAACTGCGAAACAATTACCAGTTTCGCTTAATAACGAAAAAGTTTCGTGAAAGTATTTGCGACGTCGCCAACGGTTCGAACTGTCGCGCCACTTTTCCAACCTCACAACGGCTCAGATTCTGAACGGTTGGCGGTTTGAATACCGAACGGGCAGAAGTACAGTGCTGCTACAGAATTGGCGCGCGAACAGCACAGAAACAAAAAAACCGAGTCGCCTCGTCTAAATTTTTGGGGCACGCGACTCGAACTCAAACATTGGACGGTGACATCGAACCGCGCTACCGGGCTACAAAACCCCCACAAATCCAAACCGAACCATCACAAAGGACCACACTTGTGCTGATAGGAATACGGAACCGCGACCCACCACACCCAACTCCTCGCCAAGTCCTCCACCTGGTTGTATGTGGTTCAATGCAGAGGGATGATAGGTGTGCAGGAAAACTGTTTTTGTTGGTGTTCGAGTCGCGTATGCTGATTGGCGAATGTTGCGAGCAGTCGTGAATTTGGTAACGACTGTACAGTATTCATGGAGAGGCTACAGTACCTCGTGAAATCTCTAGACTTAGAAAAGTGACAGCTTTGCATATGAACGGTGCGAAGTTTCGAATTTTCCCAACGAACTGTCCGGTACTCGAACTTTTGACGGTCCGATACGAAGTATGTGGACCGTCTGAAAAAAACATTAAAAATCAAAATGGTGCCACGCCCTTATTGACTGAATTACACTGCTAGAATAACCACGTCTGTTGCCATTCTAGACAGTTACCACGTTGCATCTCGTAACTGCCTCGTGCGGTTACTGGTCAGTCAAGGGTCACGACCGTTGACTTGTCTTTGACTGTTGACCTTCGGGTGACCCTTTACCTTCCGCGTGCTCTATATGAGCGGTTGCGGTACTGATACAGGCGCTTGCTTCGTTATGAAGTGACGCGAGAGTGGAGAACCTTTGGGTATGCTTATGATAACCTTTCGGCTATTCCAACAGTCGTTGATACTGTAATAATGTAATTTAGTTAATAAGGGAATATACCCCTCAGCTAGGATTTCTATTTATGTCTTCATACTCCTATCCTATAATTATCTTGTTCTCTTCCAACTTTATCAACAAGGTCACTTCTAAGACTTCATTGTCTTCCTTTAGACTTGATATACTTATCCTATCCACTACGATTCTTCACTTATAACATCATAAATTAAGTTACGGTATACAGAAGAGCATACCAAAGTGGCACAGGTGGTGTTTGTACAATGGTTTTGTTGGAGTATAAAGGGAATTACACTTGGCATTCCCGTAGGTGCAGCAGTATCGCACCAGTCTCTGTCGAAGCAGCAACAACCGTAGTATCGGATCAGCCCGTATCAAGGGCAAGAAGGTCAACAGTTGCAAGAAATCAACTGTCGCGACTGTTGACCATCTGGACAGACGCTTGACTCACCATCGAGGAATGGCAACAGGCGTAACCGTATATACAGGTTACATGCAACGACTCGGTAACAAGAAAGTAGTGCAATAGTCAGAGTCACTATAGAAATGCCTGTAAGACAGTTATAATAAGGGAATGTACCCCTCAGAATACATGGCTAGTTAGGAACTATTTATTATGTGTGTAATCTGTGTTTTAACCAACTTGGTCATTTACATTCACTATGATATGAGTTCCTACAACAAGACTTCCGCTACCAAACTCTTTAAGGCATTCCTATCCTATCCAAGGTCCTCACTCTAACATGGCATGAGAGCTAGTTTGGATTATAGGAACTGCTAAAGGGGCTTCCAACAAGCTTCTTTATAACTTAATTTCAAGAACTACGACATCAAGGGCATCAACATGCTTGGCGCAGACTGCGGAGAGACTTGAGAAAACCCAGTACAACCCTCCACTAATGTCGCTTTCACTACAATGACTGTGGATACAGCGCTCCTCGAGCAGCTGATCTCCCGTATCAGCGCACTGGAGAGCCATCAGCCGATGAGCATCGACGGCTCTAGCTACGCCCGCAAGCCTCCCGATCCTCAAGGAGTTGGATCTGAGCGATCCTTCATCTTCAACAACCGCAGAGCTCAAGGATCTGCTCAAGCACAACAAACACATTACAAAGCAATGGCTTCAATGCAGAGCAAGTTCCTCTCAACGTCGAAGTTGAGGACAACCAAGCCCTTCGACGGGCAAGACTTCTATACCTGGAGCTTCGAATTCGAGCTACTAGCTTAGGGCGCTCAGATCTGGATGTACTACGACGGTTTGTATCCCTTTCCAGCCAATGGCTCACCTCAGGAGAAGACGCAGTACTACAACGAATCGCTCTTGGCCTTCACCGTCTTGATTCGGAACCTGTCGCCCGAAGAACAGCTAAGCATTCGCCCCTTCAAGAACGAGTGGGCACCCGCGCAACAATCCTGGGAGCACCTGCACACCTGCCACAAGGCAACAGACTCAGTGACACTTAGTCGCTTGCTCAACCAGCTGAACAATGTCAAGATGTTTCCCGGCGAGAAGGTCGGACCATACATCAACCGCTGCAGGAACCTGAGAGACCAGTTCAGGAAATGCGGCGGCAACTTCCTTGACGACATGTTCGTCACAATCATTCTCGCTGGATTGAGCCCGGAATGGCGTCCGTGCAAGTCGCTCCTTTGCACTCAAGGGACCCTCAATGAAACCGCCCTTTGCTCCACGCTCCTTTCCGAACAGAAGGAGATCGATCAGTACAATGAAAGAGGCAACAAGAAGAAGAAAATTGTGTTTTACGCACAAGCACCACCGGACAAGAAAAGACTCTTCTGCAAGTATTGCAAGAAGACAGGGCACATGATTCAAGACTGCTGGAAGTTGAACGGTAACAACAACAACCAGAAGAGTGCCGCTATTTACCAGCAAGGAGGAATCTCAGCGCGCAACCAAACTGTGTCACCACCAGCCGTCGCCATCACGTGTCAAGCCCCGGCACGCGTCTCTGCGAACACAAACGACAAGGGCAAAAACAAGGTTTTGACTTGCATGGTGCGTCGGAGACCACCTTGCCCTAACCGACACTACCGCTTCTTGCACAGCTGGGAGGATATGTTCGCAGATCCGCCTCAGGAGCGGCCCGAGGGATCGGTCGAAGATGAGGAAGAAAACGACCCAATGTACGACAAGCTGACAGTCGGAAAAATGGAGTACGACTGGGAGATGCCGCAGTGGATCCAAGAGTCGCCACCTGTGCGCATAGCATACGATGAGGAAGGGTGCTATTACGACTACGAGAACGAGCACGACATGGAGCATCACATCACTCCAAAACTCGCAAACCTCGCCAAGGCAAAGAAAGAAGTCAACACATGGTACCTGGACAGCTGCTGTGGACAACACATGGTGTCGTCAGACGTCTTCATCCTCAACAGGGTACGACTCTTCAACGAAGTCGAAATCACTGTTGCCAACAGTCGGACCATCTATGCCAGAAGCCGCGGACAAGTCCAGCTGGAATCACAGGACACCGGCTACTGCATCCACATAAGCGACGTCCTCATCGTGCCTGAACTCCGCTACAATCTCTTGTCCCTTCACCAGCTGATGAAGTGCGGAGTCGGCCTGCAAACAACCGAAGACGAAATGCACTTAATATACAACGGGATCTTCATCGGAAAAGCAACAAGTGTGGAAGGAGTGTTCGTGCTCGACTTCGAGTCACCCAAAACCTCTGGCGACAACGAACACATCCTCGTGCTTGATCCACCGGGCCACCCGTCGCCACCAAGGTGGAGTCATCCAGAAGAAACAGACTATCAACAACCGAGTCTCGATGGCACCTTCCGCACTCTCGCCATACCCGTCGCCTCGACCACGAACCCTGCAGAAACAGGACCACAAGCAGTGGAAGAAGGAGAGGAGATCACGTCAGAAACGGCAGGCAGAACAACTGAACCGTCAAACACGGAAGCTACGCGAACCTTCTGGCCGCCTGTTGAACGCCCCACCGGTTGGACCACCACCGAGGGCTGGGACGCTGTGGACGTTCGCTGGGTCACAGAGAACACCGTGCTAAGAGAAGCCATCGCAGCTGAAACTGGATGGGGAAGCATCGCGGAAGTACCTGCAGCAGAGGTAGCAGCAGAAGAACCAGAAATTACTGAGGAGGCACCAGAAGCAGAGGAGGAAGAGTCACTGACGGAATACGGACCCCACCTGTTTCCCATCACGACGGACGGAAGGGATTATCTTCGCCTCGAGACAAGGGGAGTGACGATCGGTGACACCAAATTCGAGGAGGGAGAAATCACACAACCCGATCGCCGCGTACGAGCTTCGCCCCCGCCTCCGGAAAGGCCACTGGAGCTGCAG